CTGAAAATAACAATTTAAAGTCATAAGTATCATTACTCTAAACATATTATCAATTTATTAATAAAAATGTACTTAAATATTGCCTAAAAATAGGTATAACTATGGCAATATCACTGGGCGTACTGATCAGGGGTGGTCACGAATGTTCTTCGGAGTACGCTAGGCGTACCATATGTACGCTGGGCGTACGTTGATCAGACCTGAACCCTATTTTAGGGTCTTGGATCCTATTTAAGCTCCTTATCTCATAACCTAACCCTAATATCTTCAGACTCTATCCCTCTAAACCCTAGAAATCGACCCTAAGCCTGCATTTGAGTGATTCTTGAGCATTTTGGTGATTTAGTGAGTTTTTGGTGCATATTGTGGAAGAAGGAGTTCCTTGAGGAAGCAATGCTTGGCTTGGAGCTTGTGGATCCAAGACCTAATCAGGTTGATCTAGCTCCAGAAAGCTTAAAGTTTGAATCTTAGTGGCTTTCTCATGTGGATCTAGTGGGGTGATGACTTGTTATGTTTGGCTTTTGAAGAAGAAGGAGATTTGAAAGAGAATAGCTTGAGCATCTAGCTTTTGGATCTATGTTCTTCTCTTGTTGTTGCATCTTCCAGAGGTATCAAGTTTGAAACTTGCTTATTGTTGTGTTAGTTTTTGTTTTTGGTCTATTTTAGGCTTTTTGGTCCCAAAGCTTGAAGCTTTATGAGTTGTTAAACTCTAGAGCCTAATATATGTCCCTTTAAGTGTTTCTAGTAGAGAGGATTCATAAAAATGAGGCCATGGACGTTGGAAGCACCTCATGCATAAGATATGAGCATTTTTCGGAGTAAAGAGTAAGAGTTTTTGTGTTTGGGACTTGATCTGCCATGCAAAGGCTTAAAGTCACGAGCTTTATTGTGTGTGAGCCTTTATGGAGACCAGATCTAAGAGTATGGCTATGGTCTTAATAGATTAAGACCAAGGGAGTGGAGATAACAATCCTGGATGTACGCTGAGCGTAATTCCAGTACGTCCCGTGTACTGACCAAGTGTCCCCGATGGCCAATATGAATTTGTGAGTACGTTGAGCGTACCAAGGGAGGTACACCCAGCGTAACCTCACTGTGGACTTTTGGGCTAAGTCTCATTTTGGGCCTTGAGTGTTAGGGCTGGATTTTGGACTGGTTGTAATAGAGTTTTGGACCAGAGGAATATGTATATATATATATATATATATATATATATATATATATATATATATATATATATATATATATATATGCTTTGGGCCCTCTAGTGGGCTTGCCTTTTAGATTTGAGAATTTGGGCCTCGAGAGAGTCTGTTTATTATTGGGCCTTGGTGGGCCCAATGGGTTTAGATTATTGATGGGCTAGTTATTGGGCTACCTTTATACCTACTGAGTGAGAGTTTCGACTTAGTTCCTAACTGGGTGAATTTTAGGTTTGGCTCAGAGATAGAGGCCGGTGCGCAGTTGCAGCGTTTTAGGGGTTGTTCACCATCCGAGGTGTGTCTTCTCACTATACTTTACCTAGAGTGGTATTTAAGTGTGGCCAGAGGGTCGTATGTTCTTACTTGAGTTATGCATCTGTCTGTGTGATATATATGCTATATTATGTGTTAATGAGACCGGACCGGAGGGTCCAACGAGTTGTGAGACCGGAGGGTCCTCACTTAGACCGGACTAGAGGGTCCAACGAGCCATGAGACTGGAGGGTCCCACTGAGACACATAGACCAGAGGGTCTTATAGAGTTATAGCCTCGAGTGGCTAATGTGTTGTATGTGGTATTTTGGGGAACTCACTAAGCTTCGTGCTTACCGTGTTATGTGATATGTGTTTCATGTTTTCCCAGGATCGCGGGAAGGCACCGACTTGATTGTACACACCAGAGCAGGAGTTATGTTTTGAGGATCCTGGAATACGAAGCAAACAATTATGGAGTTGTGTTTTGTAAATTAAATCAATGAGATTTTTGTAAAATGTACTACAAGAATTATATGATTTTAAAATGAAAATTTTGTTTGAAAATTTACGTTGTTACACATCATACCCGACTTAGCCCAAAACCCTTATAACTTTAAATGGTCATAACTTCTTCGTTCAAACTCAGTTTTCAATTATCATTATATCCACGAAAAAGTATCGAGGAGCTCTACAATCCTATTTAATTACTTTTGACTTAAAACACCTCGAACTATAATCCATAATTCATGAAAGCCCGAACCATCACTTTTATCATTATACCATTGGGCTCCAAAGCACAAACCGAACTCTTGGATCACATAATCTACATTACCCTCATCCCAATGGGTCTAAACCTTTCTTTCCCTAAAGTTCGAAACCTTATGATAATTGATCTTCGGGTCAAAGACCCCGAATTATGAAACGACTCGAAACAGGATGTTACAATCATTTTGATAGGATTATGATTTTTTTTAGTTTTTTTTAATACATTTTGATTTATTGAACGACAAATTGAAATGTATCCTATAATGTGTACCATATACATATATAGTAGAATCATATATATATATATATATATATATATATATATATATATATATATATATATATATATATATATATATATGTGTGTGTGTGTGTGTGTGTGTGTATATATATATATATATATATAGAGAGAGAGAGAGAGAGGAGGGTTCAATTGAGAAAAGAAAAGGTTGAGAATGGAGGAATCATTCTCAGCCAATCATTTATTTTTACCGCAAAAGCTCCATCGTATCAGCGGAAATGGAAAATGAATGCACATGTGTTTTCCAACAAAACATGTTTCCTTAAACTATGCTAAACATTACCTTAATATATATACAAAAACATAGGTTTTTTGTTTTTTATTTTTCAAATTTTTAAGAAGCTATTTTTATCGAAAAATGATTTTAAATATACCAAAATTCATGATTTTTTATTCTCTACAAATAGACATCCATATTGATATAGTTTTAAAATAAAATAATTTTTTTTATTTTTATATTTTCAGCTATCGTTATTCATAAGTGAATAAAAATGAATCTGGTTTTTAATACAGTACATTCGTTATTCACTTATGAATAAAACTATGATTAATTTTTTTTACAATTTAAGTATCATTCATATATGAATATAGCATATACTAAACATATTATATTTATATTTAAATATTAGACGATGCATTTACTTGTGAATATTACATAGTATATTCACTTGTGAATGTTAGATGATATATCCACTTATGAATATTATATGATATTTTCATATGTGAATATTATATAGTATTACATGGTATATCACATGAAAATAATACATAGTATATTCACGTGTGAATATTAGATCGTATATTCACTTATGAATAATAGTTGATATATCCATATGTGAATATTGTACAGTATATTCATATATTCATATTACAATGTGTTTTCAGAAATATATATAATTTTTATATGTTATTCACATATGAATAACATACAGACTTGCATATTTGTTTTGTGTTTTAATAATCACATATTGATTCAAGTGAGAAACATATTCATATGTGAATATACCATGGTAATTTAGTTTATGCATTTCATCAAACAGTTGGAGTGCATACAAGTTAACTTTTTTAAAAATGTAATAAATATGATACTTTGACCACTTAAATCTTACAAAATAGTAGATTGGTAGAGAAATATATGAAAATTTCAAACAAAAAATGATTTGACATTTTCTAACCTTAATTTCGATGTTTTATTTGATGAACGATGTTGAATGAATAATACAAATTGAATTTTTTATTGATTATAGATGATGTTGTTCTGATGATGCTGGGAGTATAATTAATTGTAGATGTTGAAGAGATGTTCGTATTCAAACAGAATTGAAGGTTGGATTGAAAGAGCAAAAAACGCATGAATTTCAACTGTTCGTATTTGTGATTGAAGGCTATTATATCATATTTACGAGTTTGTCACCGTGTCCTTTATGTTTAGAGGCTAATTAAATGAGTGGCTGAGAATGATTCCCTTATTCTCAACCTTTTTTATTTTATCAATTAAACCCATCTATCTATCTATCTCTCTCTCTCTCTCTCTCTCTCTCTCTCTCTATATATATATATATATATATATATATATATATATATATATATATATATATATATATATATATATATATATATATATATATATAATGTTATTGTAAAAAGTCAGTTTGATCTATCTAAAACAATGATATTTTAGATTCGTTGATTATATGCAACCAAATTTCAAGGATCCTTAAAAAACGATCAAAATTATTAATTAAAAAAAATCAAGAATAAAACTATATATGAAAATTAAGTTTTGATTATAGTTCAAATGTATTCTTTTAGAATTCATTTAGATTATTTTTAAAAAAACCAATCATAAATTTTCTATAGAATTCCTATTTATTTATTTTTTTAGTTCTCACCTAAGATATTAAAATACCTTTATAGCAACTATTTTAATAAACTAATTAATTTAATTAAGTTTTTCCCAAATTCTCATTAATGCATTCTTCCTCACAATAATTGATATCGTTATCTTTTTTTGTTTTTTGAAACGGTAAATCTAACATATATTTAAACTATATTTTAAATTTATTTATGTTTATAACCAAACTTGAACATTCAACTTCAAGAAAAAAGGACAACACGATTACCTAGTCTTAAAAATAAGTTAATATGTTCTCTAAATTTATTGTATGGATATAAAAATTAATAATAATTAATAGCTAATTAAATAAATAACGACAAACCAAATTAGATATTTTTATAATTAAATACTTATAAATTTGGAAACTAATAGTATTATCCTTATTTTAGTTCCATTATTTAAGGAATGATGGGTCAACGCATAACCTACCACTTCTCCGATCTCCATCTTCATCGCCTCTCAACTACAGTCCGGCCACCATGGCTGCCCAACACCATCGCCAAGAACTAATTGCTTCCTCCACAACCAGAACGCACCAAAACATATACTTTCATCTCCTTCCTTGTTTTTCATTATTTTCATGCCCACCTGTGAATCGAAGAGTATAGAGGGGATCTCCATCTCTGGCGCTTCCCTCTCCACCGACGCCTGGTTATAAGATCCAAGTTTAATTTCTCTTGATGCTCTTTGCTTTAATCATCTGATACGAAAGATATAGACATCCAATTCCCTGTTTACCATGGATTAAGCAAGCTATCACTTCTGTCAAAGGTTAGAATCGTCTAATTTAACTGACTTCGATTATTTTCACTTGATACTGTATGGTGCTTAATTGCACACTAATCGATGCTTTAGTAAATACAAATTAGTTCGATTCTTGAGATAATAAAAATAATATTATAAATTACGATTTATTTTTGAAAATATGCAATTGAGTAGGATTTAAAAAAAATTAAATCTTTAATTGAGTGATTTGTAGGAGCTATGATGAAAGCTGAGTCTGTTATTGAGCATTGTGTCACCACAGTGGAGAACTTAAAATATTTCTCATTGCCTGGTGTTGCTAGTTGCTACCTTTTGATTTATGCATTTGTTAAATTGATCAGGGGATGAAGATCATTTTAATCTTAAGTCTGGTATAGATTTAACTTAGAATATTTCTCATTGCATGTATTTATGTTTCCATATCATACAAACATTCTGTCTGAGTTTTAAACTGTTATAATAATACATAATTTGAACTGTATTTCAAGAGAATAGCGTATTCCCTTAGAGAAGCCTTTTTATTTTATTTTATTTATTTTTGTAGATTAACTATAAATGAACGAAGAGCAGATGAAAACATGTATGTATGTTTCCATATCATACAAACATTCTGTGAGAGTTTTAAATTGTTTTTATCTTCTATAGGTGCTACTATTCATAGGGGTACACAAACACTATTCCACTAAACTAAGCAATTTGGGAGGGTAAGTATAGAATTTCCCTTCCATATATATATATATATATATATATATATATATATATATATATATATATATATATATATATATGGCACGAAAAGTGTTTGTGGAAATGCGTGAAAGAATTTGACCATGTGGTAGAATTACTAAAGTTTATTTTGTTATTTGTTATATAAAAACATTCTCACAGAATGGATTCCAAGTTATTTTACAACTTGAGGATAGAGATTCTTTTGAGATCATCACTAAACACTCTTGGTACAATGCGTTGTACAAACAAAGAATATGAAAATCTCACATACCATCCACATCTTCTTAATGTGTACAAGCAAAGAAACAACATTGTATGTGGTTTTCTAGTTGTAAGGGGTCAAAATGGGTGCGATTTCACCGAGTTTGCTCCATCACATGGGTCAAAAAGTCTTGATCTTGGTTTTCTACCACACAATGCCGAAATTCTAGCATCTTCAGAGCAAGGAATCATAGTTTTTGAGGTTCCTCATCCAATGGTCGATGGCTTGGTTCGTTACCATGTGTGTAAGCCTACGACTAAGCAGGTTTTGGCTTTGCCAAATCCCAAAACCAAGTATTTAACCAAGAGAGTTTCCATGGTTGTGATGGGTTCAAAGCCATTGCGTTATAAGATTATCAGATTATCCGAACCTAAATTTAATCCCAAGTATGTTTTGTTGTTAGTTGCACAAATTTTCTAGTTTTATTTGTGTGTTTCTCGTTTTTTTTTTTCGAATTATAACTAGTTATTTTGATTGTGTATTTTTTTTCAAGGTATGATCGATATTACACAACATATTATTGTGAAATTTTCGACTCAAGAGCATGGACATGGAGACGACAAGATCTTTTAGTATTTCCTTTTCATGACTTTTTGCCTTGCCAACAACCAATCACCGTTAGGGGATCCATCTACATGTTAACGACAAACAACGATGTATTGAAATTTAATGCATATTCTGAAAAATGGACAACCTTTTCAATTCCTATTGAAGACCTCGATTATATTCTGATTCCAAGGAAACTCGTAAAATATCAAGGAAAGTTGGGGTTTGCTTCTATGACACCAGGTCGTCTTTCTTGGGAGATTTGGGTTCTTACAATTGATGAATCATGGGAGAGACTCCATGTTTTCTTTGCACAAAGCTTACTAGAGGCTATATATGATTCAGACACGATAGTTATGAGGGAGGACATGGCACTTGTATTTTACAGGTTTAAAGAAGGTGATTATATATGTAAGGTCTCACTGTTTGTTGGACATGGTTGGTATTATTATATGCGGATTTTCCCCTTCGGATCTGATTTTGAGCAGGTGGATTTAAGAGGTTCATAAATGTTGATGAATGATGATCCACTTATATCAAACATTTTGTTTATTAAAAAACATAAAATTATTATATAACGATAACTTCATCATCTATTGAATTGGAATCGCATTCAAAAAATTCATATATGGATGTTGTAGTTAGCATCGATAGAGTTTGAAAGATAAATGAAAAGAAAGTTTTTGATTTCATCAGGAATTCAGGAGTAACTACGTAACATTTTATATATACTTCTCTTTTGCAGCTTATAATGTTTGTTGACAAGGAAATCGAACATGTTTGTCATAATTGTATATGGCTAAAATAATTGATACGAAGATTTACAAAGTAAGAAATAAATAATGTTTCACTGGAACCTTATTTCCCTCGATCATACCATGTGCAATTTGTTGTTTTGTATCACATGATTGTAATGTGTAAACTTGTTTGAGATTTCAGCGAGCAGCCACTTTTCTGGCTAAGATGAAACAATGAATGCTTTTGAGGCTTCCGATTCCCACTCCATTTGTAAAAGCTAAACTTGTGGTACTGTGGTTGAATGCTTCTACTAAGAACAAATAAATTACAAACGGATATCTGTCAATTCGAGATGTCAGATTATTCTCCTAAGAACATCCCATCCTCTGAATCATAACCCTGTTCTTAATCGAATAGAAAAGATTATGTTATTGCTCAGCCATGTTGACTTTGAATACTGATTTCATCTTTTGACTCGTCGTCCCTACTACTTCTGATGGACAATTTAATTTTTGATGGAGTTTATTTGATTTACTAACCAGAATACCCAATTTCTTAATAACCTTTTGAAAGTATTCTTTTACACCCTTACTGCTCTAATCTACCAATGAACAGATCCAATGCCTTTTCGAACTGCTCCGGTGTTTCTCTCCATCTTATTGATTCTCGATACTACTGATCTAATCATAATCACTGATCGAATTTGCAATGTTTTTATTCAATCGACATGTTTTTAAAGTGAATAGGCTTTGTGACTATAAATCCATAACATTTGGGTGTTGAAATGTATTGAATACATACATTATTTCGAGGGTGTTTGGGATTTCTTTTGAGCATCAAAAGTCCTTATAGAATGACTTTTTGTAAAAGAAAGTATTTAAAATGTGTTTGGATTGACAAAAGAACTTTTGATTTAAAAAGTCATAAAAAATCATGATTTTATGACTTTTAGAAGCTCCTTATTTTCTTCTTACCAAAAGTCATTTCCAAAAAACATTTTTTTTTGGTAAAGTTAAAAGCCAAAAGTTATTTTAAAAGCAACCCCAAACACCCTCTTCACCCTTCCATAGGTTTAGGCTAATCCATAAATTGTGCGGAACAATATTGGAATTGTCCGAGCGAATATCCACCCGTAGTTCCACGTTCAACTTTAACGAGAGAAGGGAAGAAAGTAGAAGGAATTGAGAAAAAAATGTCGTGCTATAGTTTTTTCTTTTATTTATTTATTTATTAATTTATTAATTTTTACTTTTTTTTTTGAAAGAAAAACGATTAGAAGAGAAAAGAATTGATTCTTAAAAACATCCATATCTACAACACCATTGCTTTCGGTTGCACACAGCCTCCTCCAAGCTGCAATTTCTTGTCTCTGCCAAAGGTACGTTGAAGATATGTGATGTTTACGCAATTTTATGGTTGATTTTCTGCTATTGAGGTTTATAGAAGAATAATTATAGATATAGGAATATTCTTTCGTGTTCACTGTCTGATTTAAATAAAGAAAGATAGGTATGATATTTTCCATACGAACCATCCCTTCTTGTTTACTAAATGCTTTCATGGCTATTGTTCACAGTAGTGGTTCCAGAAAGGGTCCGATGATATTATAGATGGATCATTTTGAAACCTTTGTTTATTAGAATAGCATCAGAGGCATTTAATTTGATTTTTCATATATGTAAACCTTGAATAAGATCACATGAATGATAAAGGTGGATTTTTTTGAAAATGTGTTTGCTCCTTGGTTTTATTTTATTTATTTATTTATTTTTTTACAGAAAATAGATGATCGGCGGTTTTGTTAAGTTTTAGAACAAATTCAATAAATAATCAAAGTCCCGTTTTGTGGAAGGGTGTCAGCCAACAACAAGTGGGGACCAACTCTGAAAAGATATTAACCAAGGGCGTATCTAACATATAAGAAGGTAGGTCTAAAGATCTACTTAAAATTTAAATTTCATTTATAATATATATGCAACAAAAATTAGGAACTATCTTAGAAAAAATAGACGACCTACATTGAGTTTCTTTTTCTAAAAAATGTATTAAAAAACATTTTAAAATGAGCAAAAAAATAAGTTATATGGGGCATTTGTGGTGTTAAATATACAGGGTTAAATATAATATATAATTTTTATCAAACAATAAGGTATCAGTGTACTAATAATCAAATAATTTTTCATTAAATCGTTCGGTATTTTGAATTATATTTCAGTCGTTTTTTTTAAATTCTAATCGGTGGTGGCTGATCGGTTTTTTCAGTTATATTTCATTAAATCGTGCACGACCCGATCTGATCCGACCCCTCACAAGTGTTGTTAAATTTTTTTATTGACTTCACTTAATTTGGAAACCATGTGATATTTTGTTTTAGATTTGCCATTGATATTAACAAATGATTTTTTTTTGTTTATCTAAAATATGTAAGGTGGAATCTACAATCAAATGAGGTCTATACACCCCACTTATAATACTCTATATCCGCCACTGATTGTTCACTGTTTAATCTTCATGTTCATTGTATATCATTTGATTTATATAAAAGGGAAAATATCGATGTACTAGACCACTAAACTCATTTTTTACCTATCAATTACATCATTTATCCTGATTATTGTAACATCCTGATTCCGGATATGAAAATATAAATCATTTTGGGGATTTTTAGGTGGGTCACGACGTGAGGGAAGCACCATCACGTCGTGACATGGTCGCATTCATTGTGGGGGGGGGGGGAGAGCTTTTGAGTGTCACGATGTGACACCTCACCTAACGCAAAACTCTAATTTTGGTCTTGGACCCTATTTATAGAAAGTGAGGGGTTAGGGTTTCCTTCACCCTCAGTCTCCATCACCTCAAAACGACTCTTTGGCCAAACCCTAGATCTTTTGAAGCTTTTGAACTCATTCTTGCAAGTTTTGGTGGTCTTAAAGGAAGGAGAAGAAGTTGTGGTGCCTTGTTTCCCCAAGCAATCTTACCCCTCATTTGTGTGCATATTCTAGACTCTTTGTAAGTCCTCAAGTTCCACCTTTTTATGCTTTCCTCTTTAGATCTAGGTTTTATGTCATGATTTGGTTCTTTTGTTGTGGTTAGTATGGGTTGAAAAGATGAAGTTTGCAACTTTATGGTTTCTCTAAGTCCCTTGAGCGTCATATCTTATAGATCTAGGTTTTGGTGGTGGTTTGAGGACTTTGCTTGGATCTTAGGTCATCTTGTATATTTTGACCTAGATGTCACATTCCGTTTAAAATAGAATAATTAGATAATAAACCCGGAACCCCGAGAGGTAATTTTTTTTTATTTTTTTATATTATTATAGCCAAAATCAAATAATAATTAGCGGGGTGTTGGTTTTGGGGAGCCAAATGACAAGATTTGAATCTACGGGGGTTAAAGTGTAATTTCAGGATTTATTTTGCAAAGGATTTTAGAAGTTAGGGGGTGTTTGGTATCATTTGGACTTAATATAAAAGGATTTTGGATGGTTGGGGCTAAAAGGGTAAATTATGTTGAAAAGAATTTGTCATGGAGGGGCCATTTGGTAACATTCAGACTTAAGTTGAAAGAAAAGAGAGGAAGAGGGACCATTTCTGTCATTATGGGTCGAAGTTTGATGGGGTTGGTTATATAGCCGTCCATCTTCCCCTGTAACCCTAACCCTAATCTCCACCTCCAGCTGCCACCTTTTTCTCCATCATCCAGCCGCCACCTCCCTTCCTCATCGTGCTGCTCCGATCAACCAAGGTCATCGGTGGACCATTGCTACCGATAAAGACGAAGGATTGCCACCCCGTCGTTGATCTAGTCATGGAAATTGGAGACTAACGACCACGGAGACTGTTGTGGATTATGGTTGGATTGCGCATACCCTCCCTTCTCTAGTCTTCTACCACCGCGCCTCGTAAACGCTCGTTATTGCCATCGCCACCGATAGCGCTGGCTGTAGGTGCTGTTGTTGCTCACAATTCGTTGTACACCACCGCCATTGCCGGACGTTGTGAACATCAAAGAAGTTCCTATGGGACGTTGGAGATCATGAGACGATAGTTAGAGATGGTGTTGTGGTCGTGGGAGGGACCGGTCGAACCTGTTGCTGTTGGGTCTCGATGTTGCCGTTAACCGCCGCTAATTGCCACTGCTGCCTGCCATTTCATGCCACCACCGCCACATACGCCACCAGGTGGGTGGCTGGGTTCCTTTTATGAGCAGAAGACTTGTCAGTGTGTATGTGTGTGTGTGTGTGTGTGGCTAGTTGTGTAACAACCCAATTTTCACGCCCAAAAATTTCATTTAAAATAAGTGGTTTGTAAAATATTTATAGAAAAACATCATCTGATCATATTATTTCATAAAACATATTACGTGTCTGAAAACCCAAAACAAGAAAATAATAATAATGTCAGAGTACAATCCCAGAACATCTCATAATGCGGAAATCCAAAGTGTGTGTGTATGATGTGCCACTACCGCACCGACTCCTTCCCCTTCGCTGAAGAGGTACCTGAAACCAAAACTGAAAACTGTAAGCACGAAGCTTAGTGAGTCCCCCCATCGTACCACATACCATACAATCATATCACATACATACTGTCAGACATTTCTGGGGTGCCTGACCTACTCGGTACGGCCATTCTGGGGTGCCGACCTACCTATGTCAAGCCATTCTGGGGTGCTGACTACCCTTCGGTCCTAACAACCGAACCTCGGGGACTATTTCACACCCTACTACTACTATCACATATAACATAACATAAGCATATTATCAGACATATCTGGGGTGCCTGAACTACCCTTTGGTCCTAACAACCGAACTTGGGGACTAGTCCCCTCCTACTACCTCTATCGCATATAACATAACAAGCCAGCATGCAAACATATCAACACATACTGTCAGACGTACCTAGGGTGTCTGACTACCCTTCGGTCCTAACAACCGAACTTTACTACTATCACATACCACATATCATGATAGCATATAACATATTAGGTAGTAACAAACCTAGATGATATCACAAAGACAATCATCTATCATACGTCTCCTACTGGTGGGCCGGCATTGTGGCCTTAGACCCACCGCTACTAAAAGGTAACTCACCTCGAAAAGTAGCTGCTGAAAGCCTGCTTGCTAAGCACCTGACTGATGAATCGGTAATCCTCCGGCTATAAATCATAAACATAGATTAGCCACTCATTCACACCCTTAGGTCAGATGACTGACCCACCCCTGGTCCAAGGTCAACTCCTTGGTTAAAGTCAACTTCCAGTTGACTGGACTCGCCGAGTCATGGCACCGACTCGCCGAGTTCTTCTCCCGCTAACCCGGTCCTACTCTACAAGCCCCTCTTCCCACTCACTGAGTCACCCTTAACTCACTACTTGGGATGATAGAATCGGCTCGCGATCCAAATTGCTGAGTCCAAGAACAACTCGCCGAGTCCATACGAGCAGACCTCCCACTCGCTTCCAAATCCTCACTAGAGCATCCCTTATGAGGATTTGGGTTTCTGGGACTATTGCAACACGTTAGATTGCTAATTCTGCATGTAAATACGAAGGGTTGGACCTTCAACATCTAAACCCGTCTTACTCAGTAACTGTTCATCTGTCTCGCCGAGTTTGAAGAACAATTCGTCGAGTACCAGGCAATCTTCATAGGACTCGCCGAGTTGTTCATCCAACTCGCTGAGTCTAAGGCCGTCTTCAAAGAACTCGCCGAGTTCCACTTTGGGACTCACCGAGTCCCTTGACCCATTTCCCATATAGACCAAATCTGAGACATGCAATGCTTCAAAACCATAGATCTATGTTCCTAGGGCATGCTTATCACGTAAAGTTGCAAACTTTACGTGCATGCATGGCCCTACAAGCTTCAAAAGGCAAATCCAAGCTCTTTATGAGGTCATACACTCAATGGGGACCTCAATCACTTCATCCACAGGAACTTTATGCTTCTAATACATCCACAAGGGCTAGATCTAAAGTCCTTTCGGATCATTAAGCACAAACACATGGAGTTTGGTGTTTTAGGGCTTGAAAATCACCAATTTGGGATAAAAATTATATCTAATGAACTAGTGATCAAGGTATGAACTTTTACCTGAATGGAAACTTCTCACAGTGTAGATTTTGGATCTATTCCCTTCCTTGCACTCTTCAACCTCCTCCTTGTTCTTCTAAGCTCCAAACTTCCTTCACCAAGTAAAAATCACTCACAAGGACAATATGGGGGCTAGGGTCTCTCACTACAGCTCTCTGGAAGTGTTAGGGACAAGGGAGGTCGAGTTAGAGTGCTTAACTAGGGTTCCAACACTCGAGTTAGGGTTTTTGCCCAACAGGGCCTACTCGCCGAGTCGGGGAACCGACTCGTCGAGTCCAAGGCTCAGACTTAGCGTCTCATCCCGCTCCTACTCGGCGAGTTGGTCCTTCAACTTGCTGAGTCCAAGGCAAGAATGCATGAATTTAGAATTATAAATTACAAGAAATACGTACCGGGAACCAGGTGCTACAAGTTGGTCGAAAATCACAAGAGGGCCACCACCACCATCGTGAGGTGGTGGCTAGCACCTCCGACCACCACTTGCTGCCACAGAGCGGCTGTGTGTGTGTGTTATTTTATATGTGTGTGTTTATTCGGATATTTCAATGTAAAATTTATTGTACGACCATAATAATCAAGGAAAAACCCATAACCACCACCAGCCACCATTTTGGGTGGAGGTGTGCATTGTGTGATTGAATTGTTAGTTTAGATGCTTGGACACATTTAGCCTAAAATCATAACAACCACCACGAGGTGGTGGCCGCCATCGTGAGCCTCCGTTGACCGCCACTATCCGAGGTGGTAGTGGGTGGTGCCCGACTTGTTTAACCCTAATGGACCCAATGAAGCCCTAATTGACCTAAAAGCCTAACCATTTGAATAATTGGCTAGTATTGGGTTGGAAACCCTAATTAGGGTTTGGAAAACCCTAATGTCATGAAACCCTAGTTTTGGGAAGTGATCGGGACCCGCACTGGAATTATTTACTAGACTTAAAATATTAATTAATAATCCTTTGCATTTAACTTAAGCCAATATTGGACTTAAGGGATTAAGTCGTTAATGGGTTAAGTAGGAACACTTAACCCTAATTGTCATTTTATGTGAAAACCCTAATTTTGCTTTGGCCTTGAGTTGGGCCTTTCTATTGGGCTTTAGTGATTGGGCTCTTGATGGGCTATCCATGAACAATTAAATGGACTAAAATATTTAGATGGGCTTTAGGGTAAGGCCATGTGAAGAACTTGAGCCCAATTTGGAAAATTGGGCCATTGATGGGCCATAATTGGGCCTTTATGATTATAAGATGTTAGACCATTGGAATGCTAAGTGTTTGGACCATAATAGATGGTTGGTCATTAAGGTAAGGCTCATGTGAAGGGTTGGGCCCAATTTGGAAAATTGGGCCATATGTTGGGCTTTGGTTCATTGGCTGACTATTGGGCCTTTGGAGTGTGAGTTGGACCTTAGGCTTGAAACCCAATTATTAATTGGGTATTGTTTGATGTTGACAGTTCGGGAACTTGTCATCCAGCAGCTAGGATTTTGCCTACGGGA